GCTCCCCTTGAGTGCCATTTCCGGGAACGCTGTCCCACGTCACGTGCGGAAGCATTCGTCCTCCAGTCGCGCAGATCAGGGTGCCCAGACGATTCTGTCATCGAAGCAAATTGATCAGATTCTGATGGATCGTATTGTGGCTCGGCCATTGTCTCCTCCAGACAGCGACAAGGCCAAGGAGCAGAATTCTTCTCCCTTTGCTACTCCGAAGGCAAGGACTCGCCCGACTCACCAACCCTCCGCAACGTCTCTCCCGTCCCACAAGAGGCCTGGAAGTGCTCTTAGCCAGACTTCTAGCATCCAGAGCCATCCTCCCTTGCCCGTGGATCATAGGGAGGCCATCATGGCAGCGGAGAAGAGATCGTTGGAACAACGCCCCTCTTCTCCAAGCCTGATGGGCCCGCCTCTTGCCCCAGCGTCTGCCTACAGGACGAATGTAGCTCAGCGTCCACGGACTCCCAATGACTCCAACCTTCAACCTGGAACCGCAACTACAATGTCACGGATGAAGGTGAGGCGCGAGAGCCATGTGTCGCGGAGATCGTCTGTGTCATCATTCGCTTCTGAGATTGAAGAACGGTTCAATGGCCATCCGAACCCAGCTCTCGGCCCTCAAGGTTATGCTGCCGGTACAGATCCGCGCATGATCCAGGCAATCACACAGACTATGATCGGAGAGTTCTTGTGGAAGTACACCCGCAAGACCGTGTCCGGGGAAATCTCCAACTCGAGGCATCGCCGCTACTTCTGGCTCCACCCGTACACGCGCACGTTGTACTGGAGCGAACAAGATCCACAGAGTGCTGGCAAGAGCGAACTCCGCACCAAGAGTGTTCTGATTGAAGCTGTCAGAGTTGTTCCAGATGACAATCCTTACCCTCCCGGTCTTCATTGCAAGAGTCTCGAAGTGGTTAGCCCGGGCCGCCGGATCAGGTTCACTGCAACTACTAGTCAGAGACACGAGACTTGGTTCAATGCTCTCTCGTATCTGCTGTTGCGCAACTCGACGGAAAACGGTGAGGAGCAGGAGGGTGATGCTTCACTGGAAGACATTGATGAGTTCAACCCCGGATTCCGCTCACGGTCGCGTCAGACCTCCCGGCTGTCATTCTCGTCTTCTCGGAGTCGTACAAGCCGGAACTGGCCTAAGCAGCGTGCAGGGTCCATCCTGTCAAACCGTCGGGCGGCCACCCCTGGTCGTAGTTCCCCGGCCTTGAGTACGCCGTCTCATTACTCGGACCAGAGACACGGCTCTTCCTCCCGTCTTAGTACAATCTTGAACACCACAATCAAGGGTTCTTTCGGCCGAAAGGGTCCTAACTATGCTACTTCGAGCATGCATGAAGGAAGCCTTCATACACATGACAGCGAGGAAGATCTGCGGCAGATGATGGAAAGACAGGATGATCGGCTCGAGAATGTGCGGGCCTGCTGCGATGGTAAGTTCTTTGCCCCCTGGTCTTGCGATTCCGTTGCCATACCATCGTAACAAAAAGCTAATGAGCTTGAACCAGGCAAGCATGATGTCGGCGCGCTGTCGAGGACCAGCAAATACAGCCCCCGTGTCAACCGAATCCACTCCCATCACTGAAACCGTCATCGAGAGCAATCTACTGAGCCGTGGCCCTGAGGCCTACCTGGCGATTTTCCTCTAGTTTCTTCCCATGGTGTTAAACTTTTGCATGAGCCTCTTTTGCATTATCACTATAGTCATATTTTGGCACCTCATCATGTTCATTTGGTGTTTATGAGCGCAGAATCAGCGTCTGGATCAGCTTAGCCGCGAGTTTGCATACCCCCTGATGGGCACATTCCTCACTGCCGCCAGTTTCTATACTTTAGTTCCTTTTAATCTCTGGGGCTTGACCTCATCTCCCCTCTCCTGTGCCCCCATCATTTTTGTTGTCATTCATTTGCGAGCTGTTTTCGCACGAAACCATCCATCTATCCATATGTTTCCTATGTTGATTACTCAATTGTGAGCTTAACATACTTACTACCTTGTGAACTTGGGCCACTCATTACCCACTTGGCTTGATTGCCGTCTGCCACCAATTTTTCGTTCTTTTTTCCACTACATCTTTCATTTTTTCTATATTAACCAGATACTGTGCATTTACCTGTGCTGGATTGCACTTGTGTACGATCGAAGCTGTATTTCCTCCCCCTTTTTGTGAACTCAAATTGGTTGTGATTTTGATGGCGGGTTGTCCCTTTTGTCGACCAATTGCATCCAATTGGTTCGCCTCGCATGTACCAATGCGATTGGTTGGTCAGATTAGTATCCATGTCGTTTTTCTGGTGTGCTCTTTACATTGGGGAAATTGATTAGGTTAACTACCCTTGTGATAATCGAAGATCGTGTGTGAGATTGAGGAATTCTGCTAGCCCGTCGTAGAGAGCCAGACAAACAAAACACATACTAAACGATAAAGGAATCTAACCTTAGTAGCTTACCAGCAAGCAAGCACCCACCCTTCGGAAGTAACAGATATTATCATCAAGCGTGAATTCTCATTATTTCACTTTTCGCATAAATGCTATTCTCGAACTGACTATCTAAGGGTATCATATATAAACTAATGCCGTAAACATACATATCTATCATCAGTATAAGAACTGAAAGAGTCATGACTAACAAGTCCTGGTCGTCGGCTTCGCCCGTCCAGCCGGCCAATAGTCGAACAGGTACTGAGCTTCCCAAGTCCATGGGCCACCACCATCGGACTCTGGTTCTTCTTCGTTGGTATTTTCATTGTCAGTTGTATCTAGAGGGCTGTTACCGCTCTCTGATGCTCGACGGCGATGATTGTGATGTTGTTGTGGGGGAGGACGACGGGCATTGTTGGTGGTGGTATTGGTGGTCAAGTTGAAGCGAGTAAAGGCTGTAGGGTCAGAGTGTGCTTTTTGGAGGGAGGAGGTGGAGGTTCTGCGCTCTGTTCCGGCTTTTAGGGGTAGGGGTGGTTTTGGTGTAGTTGTTGTCGGTATGGTGGTGGTGGTAGTGTGTTGCGGGCGTGGAGGGGGCGAAGGTGGTGGGTTATTATCATTATCGTCGTCATCTGACAATACTATGGGGTCGTTGTCATGGTCGTTTCTAGTATGAGGTGATGGTCAGTTTGGTTTGTTCGGCATTCTGGGGGGTTCGGTACATATACTGACTCTGATTGTGGTTGTGGTTGTTGTTGCTGCTGTTGAGCTAGGATGGTATGGTACATGAGTTTCTTGCGGGAGGGTTTCGTTTTGCTAGGGAGGCGGAGAATGTTGGCTGGGGGGTCATTGTTTCTTGGTGGTTCTGGTTCTGGTTCTGGTTGGGGTTGTTCTCGTGGTCTGGGAGGATTGGGAGCGGTTTGCTTTCGCTGGGGTATATTGTTGGACCGGTCCGGGGATTTCATATAAGAGATGGGAGAGGCTGTGGTGTGTTTCTTTGGGTCAGTTGTTCTAGAGTGTGCGACTGATGTTGTCTCTGTCTGTCTTTTTGATGTCTGCGGTTCTGGTCCTGTCAAATCGGCGTTTGCTGGTTCACGCCGACGGGTGACCTTCTCGGACGCGGTCTCTGTCTTTTTGCGTTTCGCAGGGTAATCCACTCGCTCGTTCTCGTTCCCATTCACCGGCAATGTATGGTTTGATGTAGGACCCGTCTGAGGCGAACCTGCGCGCTGTGTTGGAGTCGGAGTCTTCTTGATACCGAGAAGATCATTCAGGGAGCGGGTGGGTTTCTGCTGGGAGGGCAAAGAAGGTCGTGCGGGAGTAGAGGAGTTATAGACGACTGTTGTAGGGGTTGGTGTCCCTCCGGGTCGTTGAGACGGTGAGCCTTGCCCTTTTCTTTTGTTACTATGTAACCCCGACAGGTCTGTCTCCGTCCTCTCCACCGGTTCGCAAACTTCAATCAGGGCGCCGTTGTCCAGCTCCAGTTCGTCACCTTCTTGGATGCCCTCATCCTGTCGGCAGTGGTGGTCGCCCACGAAGTTACCGGCGACATCGTATACCATGATGCGTTTGTTGAAGGTGTGATATCGGAGGAAGCCATCTTGCCAGCGCTTGGCTTTGCGTCGCATGTCATAGGTGTAGAGACAGCGGAAGCGGATCACCGGTGCGGTGTTTTGGGTCGCGGGGACGTTCATACTGGGGGTACTTCGTGGGGTGGCCATTTGGTGTGGATGGTGAATGATTGAGACAGAAACAGGGCCCTTGATCGGTGGCCCTGTGTCTGATCACATCTAATGAGAGAAAGAGAGAGAGAGAGAAAGAGGGAGGGATTGGTTGTTGCGGGGAAGAAAGTCGAGAAGATTGGCGGAACTGAGCCGCGGAGACGGGATGTCTGCCTCAGGCAGGGAGCCATGGATTACTTTTTAGTCAAACTGCATTACTGATTGTTTGACGTGCATATCAGCAATGCACGCCATTCCCTGTCCATCAATTATTCTATTTGGCTGCAACAGACTCTGCCTTGGCGGTACCACTTGGCTACTGGAGATGAGATGTGTCCTTAATTACGAGGACCGCGCGGCACAAGCTATAGAGAGTATGTTAAGGAGGTTGTCTTAACACTTCATACAGGAACAGATAGCATTCCCACATACAACGTAGCAATATCTGGCATATCCTTTAGCGTCAGGGTAGTGCATCGACTAGTTGGAACTGGTCCGTTCCCTGGAAATCACCAGAGAAATCCATTCATTTGAACCTGATCGACAAGGGACTTTCCCACCGCAGAAAGAAAGACATTATTCGCGACCAAAATAGCGTTGCGTCAGCCCATCCAGCCAGAAGGCTGAAACACGCTTGAGACCCTCTTTTTTCTTTCCCTTTTGCTGGGGAAAGCAGCAGCAGCAGCAAAAGTAGTAGCAACGGCCCCTCTGAGGGGGGCTGCGTCATGCGCGGCTGGGCTTAGTTCTCACGCGCAAATGAGTCCTTTCCCAGCAATGCCACGATTCCTCATTCTCTCTCTTCTTCTTCTCCCCTCCCTGTTTCTAAACTTCTCCTGATTCCGCGGCCATCTTCAATCCCTTTCCTTGTCCCTGAATCTCCTTCTTCGCCAATGACCGTCTCTCCTTCCTAATCACAAATTCCCCGCCTGTCTGTCCCAATCTCCGCATTTCTCCCTTTCTCCTCCTCCTCCCCTCTCCCCTCCGCTGAGGGGCCCAATTGGCACATCATGCAGTCGATGCAGAGGCAATTTGGCCGACTGATGAAACGGTCAGCCGATGACAGCCAGGTGGCAATTCTCCTCAAGGATTTTGAAGAAGCAGACAAGATCTTAGGACGAGTAAGTAGTAGATTATATTTTCTTTTCCCAGCACCATGCTTTAGCGTGCACTTCCCCTGCGGGGTGTGATTTGTTGATATCCTTCCGTCTCTTGGAACTGACAGCAATTCTTCCGCATTCCGACAGATCATCGATTCCACCAGCGCATGGCGCGATGCTTGGTCGTCTCTCTTGACGCACCAAAATCGAATGCTGAGCGAGTTTGAAGGCCTCTATGCTCCCATCCTCGGCTCCTCCGATTCTTCTGCGCCACAGCCTGCCTCCACCCTGGCTCGGACCAACAAGCTCCGCGAGCACTATGAAGACCTCCGGAAAGATCTACTAGGGGACCTGGCTGCCATCGATGATCGCATGATCCGACCAGCGTCGCAAGCTAGGGAGTTCATAAGTCCAGTCAAGAAGACCATCAAAAAGCGAGATGATCGGAAGGTGCGCATCATCTTGCATAGGGGACCCATTGGAACCCCGTTCCTGGCCTCCCGCTCAGGAACCCGCCCATCAATGCAACCGTCCCATGCTAATATTATTCTCATAGTTGGATTTCGAGCGCTACCAAGGGCGCGTAGACAGCTATGCCAAAAAGACGAAGCGATCAGACCGGGACAATGCAGCCCTGGCCAAGGCAGAAAGTGACCTTGCCAAAGCGACCGAGGTACGTGCCACCTGCCATCAATCCATCTATCTATATTTGGTCTCTAACGGTCGCAGGACTACCACGCAGCGGACGACCACCTGCGAGAATGCCTACCACCTTTGATCGCCGCTGCATTCTCACTACTCCCTCGTCTGCTCGCCACGCAGATTGAGATCCAAAACACCATGCTCGCCAACTACTATACCGTGGTCCACAACTACTGCCAGGAGACGCAATTCCCCTCCCCGGCTCCCCCCATGGAGCAAGTCATCCAAGAATGGGAACGCGACCACCTCCCCGTCCAACAAGAAGTCGAAGCATTCGGCTGCATCGTCAACGGCAAAACCGTGAAAATGTCCCAAGTCCCCGAGGAATCGCGAACCTCCCGCATCACCAGCCGTCTCCCAGCCATCAACGGGTCCTCATTCTCCCGTCGTCCCTCGAACTCCAACGCAAACAGCGAGACTCCTCCACCCAAGCCCCCACGGCCCACTTCACCTTCTGCTACAGCCGCAGCTACAGCGACAGCGACAGCAATCAACAACAAAAAGCTCCCCCCACCCCCCAAACCATCCTACGACACCAAACCATCCCCCGTCTTCGAAACCAAACCCCGATTAGCCTCCTCAGCATCCAACAACAACCTCACCATCCCCTCCACCTACCACCTCTCCCCACAACCATCCTCCTCCCCAGGCACCGAATCCTACTACTCCGCAACCGAGCACGCCCGCACCCCATCCCCGGGCCCTTCATCCTCCGTCGCCGCCCGCGCCGACTACTTCAGCCGCATCCAGCCCTCATCCACCCCATCCAGCGCCATCCGAGCAACCTCCCCCGGCGTTAGTGCCTTAGTCGCCGGGAAAAAGAAGCCCCCGCCGCCGCCCCCACCCCGGGCTAACTCGAACAATGCCATGTACGTGACGGCCCTGTATGACTTTGGAGGTCAAAGTGCTGGAGACTTGGCCTTCCGGGAGGGAGATCGCATCCGTGTCTTGAAGAAGACGGAGAGTACGGATGATTGGTGGGAGGGGGAGTTGCGCGGGGTGAAGGGGAGTTTTCCGGCGAACTATGTGGAGTGATTGTTTTGTGGTGGCTGAAGTAAGTACATAGCTGGGAGGATGGGTTGTGTGGTGGGTAGGGGTTAGGGGAAGAATGACAGAGTCAAATGTATTCCATATATTTATTCATATTTAGTAGTTAATATCTCGATATCGATTCCCCTTGTTGGGGGGGTATAGTGGTTAGGGTGTGAATCATAAGATGTATACATGTATACAGTGTACATGGATTGTCTTCTCCGATTAAGAGGGCAAGTACACATATGGAAGCAAGTCAACCTGACAATGACTTGGTATAAGTTCTATCATAAACACTATTACTAGACTGAGTTGTCTCATCATCTGCCACAATCGATGTTTGTTCAATCTTCAAAGCGTAAGTCATGACCAAAAGGATAACCGAAGAGATACAGATAACCCATTCCTAATAGGACGTTCGCTAGTGTAGACTTCCTGCTCAATGGTTAAATAAACGCACCCTCGGATGGTGCTGCGTCGGATATTTCGGTGCCCATTCGTCGTCGGCGACTTTCCAGAAACATATCCACCATGCGTTTACTCGAAATGGGCGAGTACGTGTTCTGCAATTGACTGTCCTGGCTAGTAACCTCGTGATACCCCCTCTCCACACGGACATTCTCGTCAGTCAATCTTCTATTCTCGTAAGGTGCACGTGAAGACCTGAATTGGGAGGCCTTCGAATCCAATCTGGAAGGCTGTCTCCCATATCCTCTACCCCCTGTTCTCCACCGGGCTTTGTCCGTTGCATCTCTTCTTGGAGTCGGGGACTCTGGGGCTCGATATCGATAATTCAATAGCGCAGGTACTGGTGACAAGGCCATACCATCAGGCCGTGTCTCGACCTGATTTATAAACAAGCTATGCCCGCTGGAGCTGCTTGATACCTTGGGGGTCAAGTCCGCCGGCGGCGGAGGTGGAACCAGAGTATCTGGTTGCTCCTTCGGGGCAATGATTGTGGTGCGTATACTCGATGACCGACTAAACGGACGCGAGAAGTTATTTCTGGCTGTCACTTTGCAGGTTGTCCACAGGTCTTCGTCTGGCGATCCACTCCAAAACCCTCGTCTGTCTCGAGATGGAGTTCGGTAAGCGAAGTCAGCTCTTTCATCTTGAATTTGGGCATCTTCTCGATAGTGACGCCTGGTAGGTGTGAGGCATCCAATTCGCTCCATTTGCGTGTGCATCCATTGCTGCCAATCACCACTCGGTCGTTGCATCGCATCGGGACCCTGGCCAGAAATACGCTTTGGCGAGCTATAGATCGCCCGCTGACTTGCGTATATGGTAGCCATACCCGGTTCATTCGCCAATTCAGGGTCACACTCACCCTGTTTCGGGTTCGTTGTGCTGGGAGAGTTTCCACCTGTTGAACGAGAATAAATACTTGGGGAATCCTCGCTTTCCTCTGGGCTCGGAGACCTTCTCATAGTCACGTTTCCAGTCTCGTCTCTAGAAGCCTCCTTGGTAGTGTATTTGGCCGACGCCAAATTGGAAGAATCATTGTGATTGTCCTGCAGGTGCTTTTGGCCGTGGGTGCGTTGAGCCTGACATGGGACTGGCTCGCAGGGCGTGACTGTGCCCGCATCAGCTGTCGTATAGGACCCGGGGCTCTGAAGTGACTCATCGCTGGCAATCAAACGAATTGTCTTCTTACTACGGCGAGTGTACATTGAGGACACAGGTGTCGGAATTGCGCGATGTTCCTTGACGTGGCCAAGGACGATTTCCTCGCTTGCATTCTCCGTCTTGTTTCCATCGATGCGTCTCATCAGCGCAGAATACAAGCGCTGGCTGTCTATCGTACAGTTAGGCTTTGGAGTGCGACGAGTGGCCAGTGAAGCATCTTCTGATGAGTCCTGCTTGAGGACGGAGCTGTCTTGTTCGTCTATAACAGACAAAGAGCTGTGGTCGTCTGCTCTATGTGTTACTACCGTGTTGGCTATCGTCGAGTCCGCCCAGCTTGTTACGCGAGAGCGACTTGTGGCAAGGCTCTCAGAGCTTCCAGACTTCTTGACTCCTGTATAAATCACAGTTCCCTCGGTACCTGGTGAGTGGATAAGGACGCTTTCCTCAATGCTAGACTTCAAGAGAGCAGAGTGCTTTTCGGATATTGACGAGTGCGACCCCTGTGTCTGTTGTTGGTCATTTGAGGGAGATTTCCCCAGAGACACACGGGCCGAGGAAGGCCTGGAGAGCCCAAGCACCTTCTTGAGTCCTTTCTTAAGTGACGATGACAGTGATCTAGCCTTGCCGTAGGGTATAACGTTAGTGGACCGCTGCGTTGCCGGCGACACGCTTGCTAGCTCCGCGTCTGACACCCTTGAACGGAGTGTTTTCTTGAAGGGTTTGTGCTCTCGCCTTGACTTGGGAACTATTAGTGAAGATTTCCGGGGTTCAGTCTGATAGTGTTCCGGCCGCTGGTATTGATTGCGTGCCAGTTCAATCGCCGCCTCCTGACCCTTAGCGTATCGGAGAGCATCATAATCTCGGGCATCCCCTCGGAAGAACGACATGGAGCGCCTCAGCGTGCCAGGAGCGCGTAAATTATCTCGAGGCTCTCTCTTTGCCGGAAAATTGTTGCTCGGATATCCAGGTGAGGCCAGTCCACGAGATACATGGGAAGAGCGTTGCCAATTCGTGAACATCGATCGGGTCTTGCGGAGTCGCCGATATGAAGAAGGCAAAGTAGCGATCCCGGCATCGAGTCCTCCAAACTCCCTGGTAGACGGTAGACCAGCTGGTGGAGATCGATCGCTCGCCTTATCGAGCACAGACCGACGAAGATCTTCATTCTCAGCGGAAGCTTTTGTAGAATTGAATGCAGCACCTGCAGGTCGATGTTGCCTCTGAGGCACAGCCATTTGACTTGGACCACCGAGAACATCATACGAGCACTTAGAGCGCAGCATCGCTCGAGTCGCAGCTGTGGTAGCCTGGAACCTAGCGAGTTCTGGATCGAAGGGCTCAGTGGATTGGGAACTGTGTTGGCTTCTTCTCATGGACCGAGACGATTGGGACCTTCGCAGGGGTTCCATGGTGTGTATAGACGACCAATGAAGAATGTACACAGTGAGGAAGTATGAGTGATGGATGATAGAGATTTAAAGGTAATGCTCTCATCTGGAGCAGTTATCAGAGAAGATGGGTATCCATGTTGGCAGTGCACAGGGAAGGCACGAGTTCCTGCCGAATATGGATATGATGGTTGCACTTGCACCGTCCCTACTTATATCTTCTTTTCTGTCTGTACATATAGTAACAAAAAAGAGAGGGTTGATTCCTTAGTGGGTGTAAGTAGGTAGTGTGCCTGGAGATACTAGGAGATACTAGTATTCATCATCCAGTGCATATTACTTCAGTAGTAAGTAGTACAAGGCAGAATACTACTAATTAATTGACATTGGTGGGACCCGATCGATCCAACCATGCAGAGAAGTGATACTACTTAGTAAATCGAAATCGATACCTTATGTGGTTTTTATTCGAGAGAAGCAGATAGGTTCATGAATTATTAGGTGAGCAACCCTCACTATGTTCCTTACTTAGCATAAGTGCAGTGAAAATATATATACCTAAGTAGGAGCACACACCAGAATACAATAGCCTAGTGACACATTCACATATTTACATCAACCCAGGCAGTAAGATATCACTAACTAGTACATATACAATCTAATACACTAGGAAAGTAGCACCACCACCACTACAGTTATCAAAACAACAAATCCCGGCACGGATACCTATCATAGCCGAGACGCCAATAATCAGTTCCCGCGCAATGATGATGATGATGATGATGATGATGATGATGACGATGACGACGCCACACCCTCAGTCAAACCCACTCCACCCATCCCGATAAACCCAGTTGGCAAGAGAGGGGGGGAACGCGTTATGCTTCATCTCGGGAAGACTGGGGCCGGCATACGTCAGATAGTCAATCACCACTGTGACCGTGCACACATACACCCATACACACGGGTCGCAGGGTCGATAGATGTGATGAGCGACACCATGATGGCAAGTAACAAGGCAACTAATCACTGACAAGCTACTTAACATGTATCTAAATAGTGGTAAAATGAAAGTATGACAGCCCGGCATGTACATGTAAGCCGCGAAGCGATGAACATCCGGGATCCGCGCTCTGCAGGGGTCTGGGCCCCCAAGTTCTCGTTCTGCGTCTTCTTCTTCTTCTTCTCCTCCCCGGATGTCACACCGAAGAAGATTGGGGAGAAGGGAGGGACCGAAAAAGAAAAAAAAGAAAAAGCAAGAACCAAGGATCGACAACGGTCTGCAGGCATTAGATACATTTCCGGAGTCCGGAGTTGCGAAGGAGGAGTAAAGTCGACGGACGGTTCGGGACTGTCAGCCGATCATCTTACCCTATCATTTAGGTGTAGTTCTTTCATTGCCCGTTGCTTTTTTTTTTTTTTTTTTTTCTTCTTCTGCCTTCCTTCCTTCCAAGTAGAAAAAAAAAAATTATAACTGAATAAGATGAAAAGAAAAAGAAAGTAGATACCTAGGGCAAATGCATTATTCGATTTTTGGTTTTGAGAAAGAGGATAATAAATCGTACAATTAGCCGAATGGGTATGGAAATCGACCAACGATATTACAGAGCACACATGACATGACAAAGAAAATGGTACACGGAGGTGTGGGAACCAGACAAAGACGGTATAGAAAGCGAGGAAGGGGGAGAGAAAGGAAGAGGGAAAAGAAGAATAGAAGAATGACCGGGCGAGAGAAAGAGAAAGAGAGAGAGAGAGAGAGAGATCCAGCCTGCACCCCCTGCGTCCACTGTTGATTGATTCTCAGCGGTGTGTGCGCGTTCCTGCTGTCGGCAGTCCTGGATTGTCAAGCCCAAGCAGCTCTCTTTCTCTCCCTCTCTATTTCTCTCGCCATGGCCCCTTCCGGGCCCAGATCATAACCATCCGACTATTCACCCAGTAGCCCATTAATAAAATATAGATAAACCAAAATGCCGTTCCTGTGATTAAATAAGAAGCAAACCCACATGTACACCAGCCTACTCGACCGCCCTCCACCCTTCCCGTGCTCTGCAGTTTTGCCTGGCGAAAGAGACGGGCAAGGATGGCGGACGAGAGTGGAACAGTGCCAGACCGCCAGGATAAATAAAATCGATAAAGCCGCCCTTCCATGGTATAATAGATGATCGATCAAACTCCCAGCAATGCATCAAGTCAGAGAGCATCAAGCCGCATACGGTAAGCGAGAAGCGAAGCGAAGAGTTGGCGAGATAGGCTCAAAAAATTCCCTGGGTTTGGTCCCAGCCGGCAGGACCCCTGGAAATATGTACAGTGATCCTTTGGGATCTCTGCACCCGTCCTATTTTAAAGCGCCATGGGATCGTAGCCGTGTCGTCATAGGGAGCGCTCGATCTCCTTGAATGGTGAGTCGTTGAGGATCTCCGATGGAAGGGCTCTCCGGTAGTCTCGGGGCTGGGCAAAGGGAGATGCTGAAAGAGGCCGACGCAGCTTCAATTGCTGTAAATCGCTATGTTAGTGTTGGGGTTCACGTAGAATGCAAGTGAAATGCGGAGGTCCGGTTTAGGGCTGACGACTTACCACACAGTCAGAGCATTTGCCTCCCTGGATGTTGACGCGACCGCGGCAACCGCGAGGATAATTGGCACAAGAGAACATGGCGATTTTTTTTTGTGGGAAAAAGCTGAGGAATGCGTAGATGTTTTTTTTTGGTAGTCGTGGTTCGAGTGAAGAAGATAAATCCCGTCAAGGGAGCTTTTCTAGGGCTGAAACTTGCTGTCTCGGAGCGGAGCAGGAAGGGGAAAAAGTACAATAAAAAGTGTCAAAAGCACCGGAGACAATGAATAGTAATGAAGGAGAGACAGAGGGGAGGGTTAAAAAAAAATTCAAAATAGCCCCAATCGCAAGCCACGGGGCAATTACGTCAAGATCGCAAGGCCGTTGTCTTGCAGCGGCACCAGCAAGGGGAGCGAAAAAAAGGAAGCGTATTTAGGCGCACCGGCCGGGGTCCGTTGAGGTTCTAGCGCTGAGGTTAGGCTGCGCCACTAAAGTGGGTGGTGGATGGGGCGAAGAGAGACACAAAAGTGCAAGAGCGTGTAGCAGTTGACTAGCAAAAAGGAATGAGTGACAAAAGGAGTGCAGGGCAGATAAATCGATCGATCAACGGTCAATTATCACACGGAGGGAAAATGGGATGGAACGTCGAGGAGACCTAAGAGGAAAAGGAGGTAAATTTGAGGGATCTCAGATTTATATCAGTAATGGAGATCTATGCGAAACGGCTTCCAGGAAGATCGGGGTAAAGGGTCGTCGAAGAACGGGCGAGTATTAGTGATAATAAATTCGGAAAGAGAAAAAAAAATGTCAAATAATATAAAGCAAGCTATGCAAATGGTCGTAATAGGCAAAAACAAATATTAATTTTGGGGTACCATGGCATCCAACGGGCCACGGGACGGGGCAAGATGGAGCCCGTGTGTATATTGTTCTGATGCAGCCCTCGAATTGGAACCAGACTTGTCTAGATACCCGACTGTGTATGGTCAATGATTACTACTACCTTGTGGTGCTGGTTACAATGGTGGCGATGATGGATACTAGTAAACAAATCATAAACGCCGGGACTCACCATCATCTATCTCAGCATTCGTAATTGAGTGTACCACAAAGGCCTGCCTTCGCTTGCTATCCTGGGCATCACCGACTGCTGGCCTTGGCATGAATTATTTTGCTCCCTGTGATGTTGATGGACTCCCAACGGGCCATTGGTTCTTCGAATGCCCAACAGTGGACTCTTGTGTTTCCCGCCTGGCTGTTCGAAGGTGATCCGGAATGGGGAAAAGGGAGGGGGCAAAAGAGCGAAGGGGAAAGGGAAAAAAAAAATTTTTTTCCTATTTTTTTTTTTTCTTCTTGTTCCCGAACCTACCATACAGTCTGCCCCCATGTAACAACCTGATCGCCCATATGACTCGCAGTTTTGGCCCCTGGGTGAGTGGAGGATGGATGACTTGATTGCAGGGCGGCGTGGGCCCTGTCAAAAAAGTGATTTTCACGACTCAACCATGCATCGCAATGCAGCTGGTGTTGTCGACCTGGTCGCTTAAGATAGAGAAGCAGATAATAATTGGGGGACCCACTGGTACCAACAGCCGGCATCGTAGCAGCCCATGGAGTTTCGAATAGATGAGGGTAATAGAGCCGTAGCAGCAGAGTCTGGATCTTGGGCCCGAACCGTCGCACCAAGAAAGTTTCCACAGTTTCTGGAACGTCGACTGAGCTTCTTCTCCTTTTCTCTCACAGTTTCCCTTCTCTCCCCCTTTGCCCCTTTCGGAGTTGGCCCCCTCTTCTCTCAGTCTCACCCCTTTTGCCCTCTTTAGTGCGCAGTCAGCTGTCGGAAGACACGGGTGAAGTGACCAATGGAAGGGCGGTTTTACTGTCTGGTCTTTGTTCTCACCCTGGCATTGCCTTGATCCATGGCATTCATTGTTACTTCAATCGGGTAAGTCAGAAGACAACCTGAGTAGAGTCTGGATGACACCGAACGGTCCTCCGCGTCTTCCCTGGTCGCATCCTTGTCTTCCGTTGTGTTACCTCTGTTGATCACCCTTCAATTGCCTTGTTTTTTTTGGTGATCATTATTGCTTTTCCAATACATTCTGCCTGTTCGCCTCTCTTAATTGGGCCCTTTTAATTTTCCTTTTCTTTTCTTTTCTTTTTTTTCTTTAGTTTAAAAGGTAGTAGTCTCGGTAAGAGTCAAGTGGGAGTCACTAGGTTCCGCACCGCTGGGTTGGCAAAAGTGGGGGTAGGCCTGATTGATGCCTGCCGCAAAGCCGTGGGCGGTAAATCCGTAAAGCCTAGCTTTCCCACAGCCTAGCTGAGCCTGAGAGAGGAGGGGCAGGGTATGATTGTGTCTCAGAAGCAGCCAGCCAGTTCAGTTCAGTCCAGTGCGAAAGGAATACGATCCGCAATTCAGCCTTGTTCATGGCCATCGGGGTCAGGATCCGTCCAGCATGTGCTGCTTAATCCAATAGTGGACAGGTTGAAGCCGACAGACCCAAGGGAAATCCTGTCAGGTGAGCCTGGGTTCTTCCAGGCTTCCGCAATTGGTCCGCCTGCACAGAAATGCCGTGCCCAGCCATCGGTTTCAGCGAACCTGACAGTAGTAGGTAATCACAACGAGCGCCAGAGAGTTCTGTTCCAGGGCCGATCCAACAGACATCCCGGGCCGGAGGGTTCCAGACCTGGACCGTCATTGTGCGGTACGGCCGAAGGCTGGTGTATGGCTGAGCACAGCATCCATCGATCAATATGTGGAAAGTAAGAGGAGGGGGGAATAGTAAGTAGGTAGTATGAGGAGGGGAAATGGAAGCATCGGGAAACTTGATCTAAGGTGGTCACTTGACCTCCAGAGGATCATGTGCCTGTAGGCTACACGGATGGTCGCATTGGTTATCTCTACTTTTACTACACAGTGATATTTAGTAGGTACTAGAAAGTTGCTCTAGATTCCATTCTATAGTTCCAAGTTGGGCGTTAGGGACTACTCGTTGATGCTCTACCACTGCCTCATTTTTGTGCACTCGGTAGGACTAGCCGGGTCTTCACGGACTGCCCTCAACTCCGTTGACCGCAATAATATACTACTGACTACTAATCAATAATTCCATGACCCGGTGTGCAACTTGCATGTGTTCTTCCTGCCACCATCCGGCAAGTAAGACCAATCCAATCTCTCACACAATCACAAGATAGTTGGAAGGGCCGAAGCAGAGTCTTGGCGAAGCCTGTGATAATTTGCTTGGTTTCCATATTATCGATTTGAATCAATTACTTAATTATCAGTTATACCAGACCCAAAACCACAAGGACACGCACCGTATGATATCTCAGTGTAGACATCTCCAGCAGCAAATTACCGTCCATTAATCCCCATTAATGAGCAGCAAATTACCACCCTTTCCATAGATTAAACCTTGCAGCGTAGATTAATATCAAGCGTATATTAAAGAACCAGCATCGTCACCATCTTTCATCATCATCAGACTGACGACCACTACCAAGCCGCTGTAACCGAATCCGGTCGGACAATGGTGTGCGTCGGTTACTAAATGGTTTCACCAGTGAGCAAAAAGAGCGGATCCTCTCTTCCTCCAGCAACTCAGAAATGCGTCCATCTCTTACCACCATTAACTACTGGGCACAAGTAGTTCCGCTGCACGATGAAAACCCTTCCTTTAGCGTCGTTTTGGTGGTCTCACTTGCTTCGCTTCCATGGAGCGGGCAGCCCGTCCGTCCCTCTCATTAGCTATTTTGGCTTTCTGCCCTTGTTTCTTAATTACCTCGGGACTGGCCCGCTCTGCAACAAAACCCGCCCTTCTAATTAAATATTATGTATTAAATATTTTATCTATCTATTCAGCAATCAATCTATCCTATATAACCGAAGCACGTCTTCAGCTTGGCCTTGAAGATCGACCAACCGTGCAATTGCTCCCACTTTGCTTGGACGGCAAGCGGCAAGCCATCGACTAATTAGTAGACGAGTCTGGATGCCCATCTGGAAGGAATCCATACCCACTGACTGGGTCGCAAGGCTAGATACGACCAAGCCCGTCAGACGGTCAGTGTCCCGATCTAACCGGGGCCAAACTTTCTTCTGTAACGGCTCCATCGTCTCCGGGCACTACTAGGTTGTGTCGCCGGCAGGAATTTGGGAATCCTAGAACGGAAGCCCAGAGCAGCGGAAGCACACAGTGTGGCTTGTACACCTTGCAACTAATCACCAACCCCCGCCCAGGAATCCTTTACTCCTTGGGAAGAAATTTGGTGTCTAGATTGTCGATCTGCTTTGAGCCTCTTCATCCGTGCCGGTCCTTCCTCTTTCCGTCTTCATTGGGCATTGTTCCCGACCGTTCTAGATCCGGCTCCCAGTCAGCTGACCCGGTGCAGAGGCAAATCCAATGTTATAGCTTGCTGGGTCCCACTGCAGGTATGGATCCAATACGATGTCGCCTTGAATGCGGTGCCGCCGTCTCAGATGGACGAGGATGTGAGTTATGCTGCGCCGAACGACCTTGGAGACGATTATTCCCCGGTCGTCAAAATGTTACCATCGTTTGATGGTGAAACCCGAAATAGCCCATGAAGATCCAGGAAAATCACCCGTTCGTATTGACGTTGCATCTGCTACGGGAGATCGGGATGATCCACATGGGCCACAGTTTCAGGAAAACTCCGCAGAGCTGCAGGTCTGCAACGCATCTTCAAACGTTAAAGAACGATTGGAGCACGAGCCACGCCCCCAGAAGTCCTACCGCCGATGCAAGTAACAGGCCGTTTCCCTCCCAGGTCAAGGCCAGGTACGCCAAAAAGCCCACCGCAAGTTCCTTCCGTCGCGCGGCATCTCGTTTAGTCTCCCATTCTGGATCGATCGGGAAAGGGACACCCATTTGCATCGTATCTTCTGGAAGCACGGACTGCGCCGGGATAGATACGGCCAAGGCGACGGCGCGATGATCGGAGGTTGGGAATAACGGCAGAGCATCATACTTTAGAGGTTTGACCTGACCTCGCTTGCTCATGCCCGGTGGAGAATCCAGATACAACACACGGTCGCACCAACTGGGCCAGCGGGTCCTCGTCCACTTCCAATCTGGGCGTGCATTACCTGCCGTTGGATCACTTGCTGCCTGGCGTGCTGCCAACGTATACTTGTATGTTGGGGGGAATGTGATCGGGGCTTCGGAGAGTCCGTGGAAACACCGAGACTGTTCCATCTCGCGGGACAGCTGATCTTGTTTCAAGAGATGTGAGTAGTGCTGAGGGTCAGAAGGGTCTACATCCGCTCGCGGGAATCGGCTATGGTCGTCTGGTCGTGGCGACACGTTGGAGGTACGGTAATTAAGATCACCCGCTAGGAAGAGGTAGCTTGTAGGCGTGTAGATGCCCCGATGGCCTTCCTGGGATTGCCGCAGCAGGGGCGCATTTTCCTCCGCGTTGGCTGTGTCGGGGACTTCCCCACCTGCGGCAGGTGAGTAGCTGAAGACCAATCTCTCGACCAAGCTGCGCCAGTCTGCGTTCCTACGCTCGACAGCATACTCCATGGGGGCGAGGTGCGCAGCAGCGAAAGTGAGGTCCAAAGGATTCCCGGCTCCTGCTGCGCCTCTGTAGGCAATGCGCGCCCCCACGGCACCCTTGTTGCCCATGTCTTGGAAGCCAAATCCTACACGGGCGGTATCAATGGACGAGACTTGGTCAGCGACATCCGACCGAGCGAAGACCATCAGACCAGTCATCCCGGAATTGTCGGTAACCAGATTGACGTAATGGACATCCCAGTATTGGGCAACTGCGCGATCCACCACCTGTGTCAGAGCCGAGAAGTATGGCGTTAGAAACGAGCCTCCGAGAAAGGCATAGGCGATAGGAGCTATTTCCTGCAGGGAGAGCACGATGAGTTCCGGGGCTGCGGGCGAGCTGGAACCATCGGTGCGGGGTAAGGCATCGAAGAAATGGCGGGAGAAGCGGTCGACATCGACAGGGTTTCGAGCGCAATTGAACGTGAGGATGTAGAGTAAGAGCGAATCCATTGTGTGGATGGGTTTCGGTGGAGTTAATACTGTTTCATGAGATGCCCAAGAGTCAACAGCAAAGACCGAGCGTATATTGCGAAATGAGAGAAAGCGAAGGTTGAGATTGAGAGAGATCTTGGAGAGCTGGCACGGTGGACATGTGACGATCAGTGGATCCGTTGCCGGGGAATGAGATCATTGCTGCCATCGATCTATCACCACCTTATCATCACCACCACCAAACACTGCGCACAAAATAGAAACATGAAAAACGCAGTGTAGTGCTTTAGCAATGTCTGATTTATTTTTTTATTATCTTTTCATCCTCCTGGACCTGTTATATGACGTTTGACCGCTCCAGTGACACCTTCACACCGTTTTAGAGCTTCCCTTGCAACCCGTCGGTCAATTCCACCAACAACATCCCTTCAGCCACATCTTCCTCTTCATCTTCCATCTCATACACCCATTGTGCTTGCCCTGCGCGCGGACTGCGCACCTCTACCTCCATCTTCATCTGCTTGATAAACGCTATCACCTGGTTCTCAGCTACATGATCCCCGGCCGACACAAGCACTTCAATTAACTTCCCAGATAGAGGAAGGACAATGTGTCGAGGGTTGCTCATGTCTCCGCGGCGATGAGCAGATGAAAATAAAGCAGATGCTGTGGTTGAGGTGGCTGCGAGTTCCAGCCGATAAGCACTGGAAGAATTGGGTGTCTGGTACTCGATCTCCGCTGCAAGCGAAGTCGGAAAGTCATTCCGCAGCACGCGTGTTAGTTGGAGATGATGTTGCTGTGACTTTTCAGACGCTTCCACTGGCGTGAGACTGATTGACCATGCGTCTCCTCGCCGAAATAGGAGATTCGAAGAAGGCACACTAGGCAATGCAGAGGGACGCTGTCCTTGTCCAGGTGCTTGAGTACGGACCGATCGGGAGACAATTGCTCCCTGCTGGAGCACTTGATCCAGACTGGACTCCAGCCATTGTGTGTCAATCCTTCCAGAAAGAAAATCTTCCTGAGCAATAACCCCTCTCAGCAACTCCAAGTTAGTCCGGACACCAGCCACTGTTGTGTCTGCAAGCACTCGTCGGGCCTTGAGCACTGCTGCCTCCCAAGTAGATGCAGTGACAATAATCTTAGCAAGTAAGTTATCCAACTGCGCCCCTACCACAACAGGACTGGCCCCAGCAGCACGAACATGAGTATCAACCCTCACACCACGGCCACTGGGAACAACCAACTCAGTCACCTTCCCAACACTGAGCGCAAACTGATTGCTCGGATCTTCCGCACACAACCGGAGCTGAATCGAACATGCCTTAGGAGTATCAAATCCCCCACCCCCAAGCCCAACCTCCGCAAGCGTACACCCCATCGCCAGCTTCAACTGAGCCAGCACAAGATCCACCCCCATAACCTCCTCCGTAACCGTATGTTCAACCTGTAACCTAGGGTTAATTTCCAAGAAATAAAATTCCCCACTCCCCTCATTAACCAAAAACTCCACCGTCCCCAAAGACCTATACCTAATAGCCCTCCCCATCCTCACCGCAGCATCCACCACCCTCTTCACAAGCCCCCGATCGCCAATCACCGACGGCGCAATCTCAACCACCTTCTGAAACCTCCTCTGCACACTGCAATCCCTCTCCCACAGATGCCTCACCTCCCTCCCATCCCCGACAATCTGCACCTCCACATGTCGAAACCCCTTCACAGCCGCCTTCTCCACGAACACCGTCCCCGATGGCGAATCATTCACCGCGCCCCTCACCGCACCCTCTAACCCTTCATCCCCATATACAAGCCGAATCCCCCGTCCCCCACCCCCATCCACTGCTTTCACCATAACAGGATACTGCACTTGCTTCGCAAATACCCGCACCTCCGCAACATCCGCCGTCGGCTGCGCCATCGCCGGCAACACAGGCACGTCGCATTCCACGGCTAATTGCTTGGCTTGCAGCTTATCCCCCGTGCGAGATAATACTGAGCTACCCGGCCCTATGACAGTAATGCCAGCGTCTTGTAAACGGGCTGCAAAGTCGGCGCTTTCGCTGAGGAAACCATAGCCTGGGTGGATGGCATCGATGGCATGCTCTTGGGCTAAATGCACTAAGTACGGGATGTCGAGGTATGTTGACACTGATGGAATGAGTAAGGCTTGGTCCGGGTGAGCGCACTCGCAGTGCGAAGTGTCATCTTCTGTATAGATGGCGTATACTTCTATGGATGGGGAAAGCTCGCGAGCGGCTTGGATGATGCGCACGGCGATTTCGCCTCTGTTGCTTGACAGTTAGAGAGTTTGGGAAGTAATGTGGAGATTAGGGCAATGGCGTACCTGTTGGCGACGAGAAGTCGTCGGAAGGGTTTAGACGATGTCATTATGGTACTGGTATGTTGTAATGAATTGAAGATTGATGGATCCGAAAGCATAGATAGATAAATTGAATTGGCATATCGTATGTCTGGAATTGGGGTTGGTTGCATTTCCTCGGACCTCGGAATAAGAGGTCGTTGCGCTCATAGATATGATCTTTACCCCTCATGAGGGACAACCCGCTGCAGTAACATGCAAAGGGGGAAGCCCTGCAATTGAAAATAATAAGCTCAACAACCACAGCTCAAATTGAGTGACATGACTACAATATAACTAATTGAGCCAAACTATCATGTCCGACAAAACCTACAAAACCCCCAAAGAGGACTCCCCCTCGCGCAACCAAGCCACCAAACGTCTCCGCCAACTCTCCGCACAGGTACTACCACCCGACTACTCCGACGTGCTCTCCCACATCAACACTCTCCGCACACTAGCCTCCACCCCGGATCCATCTCGCAGAGGCTACATCCGTCAAAAGCAAGCCGGGAAGCTATGGGTTCGCGAACGCCTTGAACAACTTCTCGATCCCGACAGCTTCCAAGAAATCGGCTCGCTCTCGGGCACTGTAACATGGGAGAAAACCGGGCCTATGCGCGAGAAGCCCGTTGCCTTTACCCCAAGTAACAATGTCCAGGGTATGGGGAGATTGCGTGGTCGGAAAGTCCTACTGACTGCGGATGATTTCACTCTCCGGAGTGGGCATGCGGATGGTGCTTCGCATGGGAAAACGATCTATCTGGAGAAGCTGGCATTGGCGCTGAGGTTGCCGGTTGTTAAGTTGGTGGATGGGAGCTCGGGAGGAGGTAGTGTTACTACGATTCGGACGGCTGGGTGGAGTTATTTGCCGTATGTGTCGATGTATAGGCATGTTGTGGAGCAGTTGAATCAGGGGATTCCGAATTTGGGGGCTGTGGTTGGGCCGGCTGTATGTGTCTTACTCATTTCTGTCACTGAGGTGAGGGTATATCAGCTAACAGTGGTGTTTAGATTGGATTGGGAGCTGCGCGAGTGGTATCCTGCCATTTCTCCGTTATGGCGGCGGATGTGGGATCGCTCTTTAACGCAGGCCCGGAAGTAGTCAAGGGGGCCACGTTCGAGGAAGGACTGGACTTCCAGACTCTAGGTGGCCCGATGATACATTGCACTAATGGGACCATCGACAATCTAGCCGCCAACGAAGCTGAGTGCTACGAGCAGCTGCGCACGGTATTGAGCTACCTGCCAAACTCTGGGCGGGAAGCACCACCGGTTATTGCTGCTGATGATCCAGAAGACCGTGAGGATGAGGCGCTGCGCCGGATCATCCCTCGACGCCAGACGCGCATGTACAACCCGTGGACTATTATCACCAGCGTCGTGGACAAGGGGTCATGGTTCGAGATTGGTGCGCTCTGGGGTCGCACTGCTATCGGGGGCCTGGCGCGCCTAGGAGGGCGGCCGGTGGGCGTGATATCGCTCAATTGTGAGGTCAATGGGGGAGCTCTGGATGCAGCAGGCAGTCAGAAGCTCGCGCGCTTACTGAAGCTCTGTGATGTGATGAATCTGCCTGTTTTGCAGTTCATTGACGTTCGTAAGTGATACGCTGTGTTCTTCCGCTTTCAAGACACTCTCCACTGATGATATACGATATAGCGGGGTACGCCATTGGCACCGTCGCAGAACGAACCGCGACTATGCGCTGGGGCATAGAACTAGGCAAGACGTATTTTACTACGACGATGCCCTTGTTCAATGTCATTACGCGACGAGCCTATGGCGTGGCTGGAGGACTTATGCTCGGAGCGCGCGACCCGGTCATGCAAGTGGCTTGGCCATCCGGTCAATGGGGGTCCTTGCCATTGGAAGGTGGGATTGAGGTCGCACATCGTCACGAGCTGCGCGAAGCAGAGAAATTAGGCCAGAAGGAAGCCCGGTATAAAGAGCTGGAGGAGGAGTATCGACGGTTGATGAACCCAGTGCGGACAGCAAATGCATTTGGCGTTGAGGAGATCATCGACCCGAAGGATACTCGGCGGCTGTGTTGCGCATGGGCGCAGCATGTATATGAGGTTTTGATACCGGAGAGACTGGCCGATCGTGCAGCAGGGAAGATTCAGCCTGTTTTTATGTAGGCTGCTAGTTATGCCCTCTGGTGTTGTGGGCTATGAAAGTGGAAGATACAATCATTTCCCGCTAGTACTAGTACCTCGTTAGCCTGTAGACAGGGGATGCAGTATATAACCGAGACCACCAAGAGGAAACAAATCAAACCATCCAATTTACGAGATTACCCTTTCGTCCCTGGAAATCCCCACTAAGCGTTCATTTCGGTTAAATCCGATGGTGTCTGACACAGCCAAGTGGGGATGCAAGCAAGCAAGCAAAAGCAATCAACTGTCCCTGAGGGGTCGCCCGGAGGTTCGGAAATTAAATCAATTTCAGGGTCCATCAATTAAAGCAGTAAATAGATAATAGAGAAATAACCCCCCTTCACCACACCATGTAGCTTTTATAAAATTATCTCTCATTCTTTAGAATAACCGTACTGAGTAATTATCCAGCAGAGAGAAAAGACACCATGAACTTCACCATCATCAACGGCCAAATCTACACCCCAGGCCTAGCCATCATCGATGCTCCACAGCCCTATACTCCCCTCGGAGGAGGTACGTCCATCCATCCACCAACCATAACAACTCTCCCAACTACCCAACTAACTAAAAGAAAACACAGACACCCTCCAAATCGCCATCGACACCTCCGGCGACGGCCAGCTCACCTCCAGTTCCTCATCCTCCTCCTCCACCGCATTCCACACCCTCAACCTCTTCCTCACCTCCACAACCACACACAAAAACCTCACTATATCGAACGGCACCACACCCAGCGCCAACAACACCTACGTGGGGCCCGTGCTAGACCTCGAGCCCTCGTCCACCGTCAAGCACGTGAACTGGATCTGGCCGGCTTGTTTCGTAGGTAGTGGCGGGGATAAATCCCCCCGGGGAGATTATAATATCTCTGTGCATCAGGGTTTCCGGTGGGAGGGGACGGATTATTATACGGTGTTTGAGTTGCCGATTTCGGTGACGAATGCCATTGGGAAAGTGAGGAAAGGGTGGATTGTGCGGTGTTGGAGAATGAGTGGGTGGGGTGGGAGGTGCTGAAGGAGAGTAATGAGACGTTGCCGGGGCAGCCTTGGGTGAGTGGGAGTGAAAGTGGTGGGAGTGGGAGTGGGGGTGGAGGGGATGAGGGTGAGAGTACTAGTACTAGTGGGAGTTTGGGGAGCAGGGGGTATAAAGCTGGGGTTATGGGGTGGGTTGTGTTGGGGTTGGTGATGGGGGTTGTTATGTGTTGATTCTATTGGGTGGGGGGAAGTTCAGTTGGTGTGTTAGGATAATGGTAATAAGTTTCGGGTTGTTATATATCTCTAGGGCAGGCTCGACTCTTCATGCGGTGGATTGTTATTTCTTCATTAAGGTCAAATACATAGATAGGTAGTAGCTCTCAAACTCCGATCCAAATTGAACGCTCATCATCAAGATAGGAAGGACACTAGGCAATCTCCAGCCCAGTATACATACAACGGACGCATCGTGGCGGTCGTGAATACATGACCAAAAGTGTTAAGACAGAAAGAGAAGATAGAAGCAAAGAACCAATTGAGGGAAGTGGATAGAATGAAGCCCAGGGGGACTCATCATGCACGTCTCATCCGATACCTGGTTGGTCCACATTAAATGAAAGGCCGACGGTCGCCCCAAAGTCCAACGATACCCATGGCGAGTGCAAGTCCAGAGAAGACAGCTCGCACCTGCTGGAATCGACGCTCCGTGTTCATCTCCTTCTGCACACTTTCACCGTTGACATTCTCCTCTGCCTCGACCACCACGATGTCCTCATCCTTCTTCTGCTTCTGGGCGGTCAGGCAGCCGCATCCGGTGTCCTGCAGAACAGACTGGACCCAAGCTACGAAGCCATCCTGACCGTGGAACCAATAGTCGAAAACATAAGAGCCAACGGTCGAGGTAACGCACATCCAGATCAGATAAGGGTGCTTGCGCTGTTTAGAAGAGAGGCTATACGCGAACAGGAGACATCCGTTCGCGATGTTGGTTAGCCGCAGACCATGCTTACGGTTCAACCGCTTCACCTCGTTGAGGGACCGGGACGCGGTGGTAGCAGTGGGAAGAAGACTCAGGGAGGGGATGGCGACACTGGAAGCGGAGTATGACATGCCCTAGAGATAATACATTGCGCGTCAGTTGGCGGTTGGACAGCTTTGAAGAGAACTAGCCCAGAAGGCTCAAAATCTTCGCAACAGGCCATAAAAATCATACCGTGAGCAGTCCCAGGGACACTGTGCCAATGAACTTCGAGACGGTGATGGGACACGCCATGGTGATCGCGGGACGAAAGTCAATGCTGCAACAGGAACGTTGTGACTTGAAAGATTTGCTCCCCTAAGGAGGATGGGAAATCACTTTTCGAGGCGCCTGATAGAATGATTTGTTGATTGAAGACGTGGTGCGCTTGAAACTTCAAGGCGGGTGTAAATGATAAGGCCATAGAAAAGTTCGCGATGGCAGAAGAAGTGACGTTGTTGCATGCCTGAGGCTGGCGGAGACCTGTCAGCCAATCACCAGCTCGCTGTTAACATTCCGAGACGCATCCGAAGCTAGTCCTATTCCAGCTAGCTCTTCGAAGTCATGTCTCCCACGGAACTAAGCCCAAAGGAGGCACAAAGAGTGGATTCACCAAAGACTAACCTACCGAATAGAGTTTAGACCCGATTAGTATTCAAGACGAGAAGCCGAGGCTTTGACTCGGAGTAACCGTCGGATTGCGGAGATTCCATCCAACGACCACACGGGGTTTCTATTATAACTATCAACTCTCTGGGGTAACCTGAAAATCGCCAAGTAGCGACTTAACAAGATCGTCCTTCTCATATATACAGTGTATATACTTACATAATATTCTTACCATGTCCCTCCCCAAAGAAGCCTACCTAAGTAACACGTGGAAGGATGGCCTGTTCAGTGAGTTGGCCCGTGGCGGTCACCACATGCTCCGGCGGTCACTGACAATCAGCAGCAAACAAGGTCGTCTTCTGTACGGGAGGCGCAGGAACCATTTGCAGCGCGCAGGTTCGTGCTCTGGTTCATCTAGGTGCCAATGCTTGCATTATTGGCCGAAATGTCGAAAAAACCGAGAAAGCAGCCCAGGACATTGCAACTGCCCGTCCGGGTGCTAAGGTCATCGGCATTGGTGCAGTGGATGTACGAAAGTTGGACAGTCTTCAAGCTGCAGCAGATCGCTGTGCCCAGGAGCTGGGTGGTATTGACTATGTCATGTAAGTGTCACTTCGTTTTGGCTGGTTCTCTACTAATCTGGGTTAAACTACCCAGTGCTGGGGCGGCCGGAAACTTTCTAGCCTCGATCAACCAGCTCTCGGCGAATGCTTTCAAATCGGTCATCGACATTGACGTTCTGGGATCCTACAACACCCTCAAAGCGACGATCCCATACCTTGTTGAGTCGGCGAAGAAGCACAGAATGGACTCCGAAACTCGTAAGTGGACGAAATCGCGATATTCGCGATAAGCTCTAACATCAGGCCATCATCAGTCAAACCCTCTGCAGCAGGAACTGGAGGACGTATCATCTTTGTTAGCGCCACTCTCCACTATCGCACGGCACCTTTCCAAACGCACGTCTCAGTCGCCAAGGCAGGCGTGGACGCGCTGTCTCACAGCGTGGCCATCGAGTTTGGCCCTCTGGGTGTCACTTCTAATATCATTGCGCCCGGACCCATTGCTTCGACAGAGGTTTGTATTCGTCCCACATATTATATAGATACACACATCTAAGTTTTTTCATAGGGCCTTGATCGTCTCCTTCCTAGTGATACGAAGGACACTTACATCAAGTCACAGCCGCTTGGCCGAGTCGGCTCAGTGCGCGATATTGCAGATGCCACGGTTTATCTCTTTGCGGACACTGGCAGTTATGTCAGTGGCCAAACTCTAGTGGGTGAGTCTCATCTTATCCAGATTCACCATAAATAGTATGTTAACACCTTTATAGTTGACGGCGCATCTTGGCGGATGTCGACCACTGGGGCAACCTCGGGTAAACTTGCGTATCCCGATTTCCTTCTTTCAGGCAACCCCGTCCCCAACGTCAAAGGCCAGAAGAAGTCTAAGCTGTAGAGGTCTGTCTTTCTTTCTGGGCACAGGATAGACACTGTCTTGGTTTGCTATCTCCCATAGAGAATACTCTTTGTTTCCCGGGTTGGTACATAGTATACTTTAGATAAAGAAGTCTTTAAGAAGGGAACAAAGGCACAGTGTGCTCCAACTCTGTACTTAGACTCCATGTTTCATCGGGCCATATAATAAAGACTGTTTACAGTTTCAGACAATGCCTTGCTTCAGCACCATTCAATGTAAGATAATTACTGAGCAACCACGTAATGCATGAAAGCAACAATGGACTGGCTTTTTAGTATGCCGGTAGTCTACGTTGTTATGCCCAAGACAGATAAAAGACTGGCACACGAACTACCTGCTATATCAATAATTTCCTGATGAAATTGTACTCGAATATCTAGCCTCACGTCCAACACGAGCAAAAGAGGCACTTCTACTCCCTAATTACGAAAAACACATTAAGCCCTCTCCCTTACTCCCAATTCTGCACATCCGCCAAAATGTCAGGCAGACGACCACCCAACCAACGGAGGATACCTATCGGAGCACATAAGCAAATAACTGCATCCGAAAACGACCCCGAAGAATGGCCGCAGGACAATGACAACATAACCCAACAACTCACAGAACCACAACGCAAAGCCTTATTAGAACTTGAAAGGGAGAACAAGAACCTAAATAGCCAAGTCCATGATTTGAACCAAGTGCTTGTTGAGCGAGAACAAGCCTTCGCGCAATCGGAGCAAGAGCTGCGAAAGACCCAAAAAGATCTCAAAACGATAGAATCCCAAGTCAAGACGAACGAGGGGCACGTCCAAGCCGCCTACAGCGAAAATACTATGCTTAGTACGAAGATCAATGCGCAAAGTGGCCAGATCAGTCGCCTTCGTCAAGAGCAAAAGAAGTTGAAAGACGAGGAGGCTATTCGCCGTGGTGAGAATGAGAAGCTACAGCAGCAGATGCTTGAAGCAAGTCGAGAACTGAATGAACTCAAGCAGAAGCTTGCGGCGAAGGAATCGGAATCGGCAGCGCAAGAAGCGGAGAAGAGGCAGCTTGCTGAGGCGATGGATAAATATAAAGGGAACGATGCTGAATTAAGAAAGCAGTTGAATAGGCTTGCGGAGCAGGTGCATACGAATGAGTCTGCGATGGCAATAGATACTGTCGCACCTGTCGCACTGCCTACACACGCGATGTCAACCGCCTTGGTTCCTTACACCCAGAATAAGCTGATTGCTAGCAACCCCTTCGGCTCCTTCAACATCCAGAAACCATCTCTGACACTGAGGCAGGAATTGGGAAGTAGCTTATATAGTGGATCGCAGAGCACCGCAAGTAGCGATGCCCCGACACCGGGGGGCCAGAGAGGCAGCATGAGCAGCATTTTCAGCGCGCCAGCGATCCCTTCTCAGAATCTTAGGCCACCCATTGAGGCAGTTCCGGTGGACTGGAGCAATATCCAGCAGGCTGCCAAAACTGGCGCCATTCCGCATGTGGGACAAGCCCCTGTACCTAGTTCCAGCCTGAAGCGACCTTTTGCTGGATTGGAAGCCTTGCAGGGCTTTGATGGCTCGGAAGAGGCGATCAAGAGGCTGCGTGTTGCTGCCGATCAGCAGAATCTTGGGTCTAATCCAGACAACTCATTTTTGACTCTTTTCCAAACGTATTTGCAGACGATGCAGGAGGCGACTAATCGGAACCAGAGTCAGCAAGAACAGTTAGAGTTGTTCAAGAGAACTGTCCAAGCTCTGACCGCACAAGGCAATATGAGCATTGGAAGTCAGTCTTCGGACTCCCAGATCAGTTGGATTCATGATTATCAGAAAGCTGCTGCACAGGCAGCGAATGATCCTTCTAAAGCTCAGCCAAAGGCTATAGTTACCGGCGTCAAGCAGTCAAAAGGATCACAGTCCAAAGAAAAGCCAAAAAGATTCCTCACACGTACACCGACTAAATTTGAATCATGGCCAGTATATCTGGAAAAGAGATATAACCCGTCGACGTTATTGACAGTACCACCTATTCGAACGACGCGAAAGAAGTTTGCCAATTTCTCAGTCCCTGGTGCATTTGTTGAAGATGATAAGACTGATAGCACAGGGTCGGAGTCGCAGGGGGAGTTTCAAACCGCACCAGAGTACTTCGAACCTCAGGTCAGTGTCCCAGAGCAAGTACCGGTACCACCTGCTGTCATAATGGCACGGTTGGCTTTGTTCTTAGTGGGAGCTTTTATAATCGTGACGGCCGTGGTTGAAAATCTCTTCGGACAGACGAATAAAACACAGGACGTCTGGATGCAATACAATGAGGTACCTGAGGATGTCTTGGCCAAAGTCCGGGGCAGCGGACCCCCTGTTGTAGGGTCGATGCAGGGCTTGGATTACACCTTCGCAAGATTCGTCGATATCAGATCACGTCTAGTGGGATGATAGATGAACCCGGTCTGCTGGTACAGAGCGGGTATGCGATCTCAGGGAGCAAAGAAAGTTTATTCCAGAGTATTCTATCCATGCCTCGTGTCTTGCCTACGATAATCAAGATGGCTTATGCGTACAAAGTATTTGTGGTGCTGATCGACCACCATAAAATGAACGGGATTCAAGGCTATTTTAGGAAATGTATACCACGTGACTAATATTTTGCAGCGGATGCGTCAGCTGCTTCCAAAGAGGTAGGCGGTGGGAATTTCATGCGTCACCTGCTCCACCCGCGCGCCATCAACAGCCAATCAGGAAAGAAATCGGGCGATGCGCGATTCGCCTTTGAACCCCCCTCCTGGCTGGCTATGCAAAGAAGCGCTCGCTGGTGGAATCCATATCATCAAAGCATTTCCCCCCATTCATCTGTTTCTTATTTTTCCAGCTGGATATCATCCGCTTTTCATCTCAATAACTTTTGTTCCCATCGCCAACCGATTCCTTCCTTTCATCGTTCTTAGTTTATAGCGCCTTTCCTCCCGTCTTATCGGTGCCTGGCTTAGATCCGCCTCGGCCACCATGCACCTCCGTTCGTGCCTTGTGGGGAGCGTTCTCGCTCTCGGCGCCAACGCCTTCCTCGTTATCCCCGAAGTCGAGGAAGCCGTCGCCCCTGAGGGTGACTTCCCTCCCCTCCACCCTTTGGAGGTTTATGCTCCCAAGAAAGAGCAGGTTGAGCTTGCCTGCACCGAATGTCCGTTCCGTGAAGTCAGCGAGGATGGGAAGGTCAGCTGGACTGACGGCTTCCAAACCTCTTTGGTAAGTGGCTCCGAGCCGGTGTTTAGTACGACATCGGGAAAGTGAAGGGACATGGATGCTAACAGTCGCTGCAGTTGGTTGACTTCTCCACTGAAAATGGCTTCCTTCTGGCCAACGGTCGTCAAATCTTCCCTCCGCCACCTCCCACTCTCATCACTGCCGTTCAGCGCCGGGCGTCGGATGGCGTAGAAACGGAACCCATCCCGTTGGGATACGCTGTGGAGGAAATGCCTTTGCCCACTCCGCCTGAGGACCCTATGGATTTGGTCGCTGTGCGTTTCACTGTCCTCGACCTCGATAGTCGCCCGGTCCCCTTGGATACGGTGGCTTTGACGCTTCTCCATGACCCTAGCAGCGGCGAGCTGTACATCGCCAAGGCTGAGATCGAAGAAGCGACCCCCGACCGCGTCTCTTGGAAACAGTGCCGCGGAAAGCCCAAGTGTCTGAGGAAGCTATTGTTCGACCGGATGCGTGCCTTGTTCGCAGCGGCCAAGGCCCGTATGCTTGGAATGGCACCTAAGCCGAAGGGCTGCGGTGGTCCTCACGGTTTGGGCTTGCCTCCCCCGCCCCGGCCGCACCATCATCACCACCACCACCCCGACGACAAGTTTGACCCTGAGCGCATGCCGCCCATGGAGGGAGAGGAGGCCGGGTTCCACGGCCACATGGACAAGTTTGACCGCCCCCACCATCATCACCACATGCACCACATGCACCATGGCCAGTGGGAACGCACCGTCCACCGCGTGGTCCGTTTCATCGTCGTTCCCGCTGTGCTGGGTGTGTTGGCTGGTCTGGCCGCGAGCGCTCTTGGTATGCTGGTTGGCCAGATCGTGGTCTTCATGTGGCAGCGTTTCCGCCGGTCTACTCCCAAGAAGTCTTTGGAACAGGGTACCGTGTCTGAAAAGCAGGGTCTGATGATGGAGTCCGAAGAACTTCCCCCGGCATACAGTGATGAAGAGCCTGTAGCTGAGGAAGTATCTTCGGCTAAGAATTAATTCGACCCTCAATAATATTTGCTCTCTTTTGCCCCTTCATACCGCATATTAAGATACTGCACCGTTCTTGATCTTTGCTACAAAAAGATGGATTTGGCAAGACTTTCGGGCACCTCTCAAAAAAACAAATACATCTCTGAAATTTTCGTTGGTTTATTCAAAGTGATACTGTAAAGCGAACCCTCGTTTCAATTTTCTTTCTCTTCTCAAAAAAATCCTTTCAAACTCATCTTCATTCGATCATGATTTTCCGCGGGGATTTATAGTTCGCTCTCGGCTTTTCACTGTCGGCTGTACCAAGCTACTAGTCAGACTTCACTAGCTTCCTTATGTAGTTTCAATATGGTTATAAGTTGTTCCGTAGCGGAAGCACTGTGCATTTACAGTAACACCTACACTAAAGCAGGGGTGCACGTAGCTGCACTGGGGCTGCCTCGTGGATGTTTCAGAGCAAGACAGACCCTTGTCACGTGAGGATATTCACGGCCGCCTGCCAGGAACGGCCGCCGCCAACCTTCCCCTCCTCTTCCTACCAATGCCAACCGTCATCGCCCCAGGTTCTTCTGTCTGTCGCAGCCAGAAGCCCTCGCCGGACGATGTTGCGCTAGCTCTCTACGATGACCCTGATCCCTCTTGTGAATCATTCGTGGGCTTCTGTGCATCTTCCTCGCCGAACCCTGACTGCCGCTTGAGCTCCAGCAGCTCCCGCTTCCGTCCGAATCGGCCGTCAGCCGGATACTCACCCCAGACGCAGGAGGATACCTGCCTGTTCATTCATTTCACGCCACCGCACCAAGTTTCTCGAGCGCCATGATGCAGTGGACGTCATTCGTTCAGAAAGCCCAGTCCTTCATCGACCCGGCGAATTTCACCCTTCCTACCCTCTCCTCCTCCGATCGCAATCCGTCCAAAGCCTCCCTGTTTCGCCAGCAGTTCCGCCTCCCCGATTCTCAAAACCCGCTGCAAGAGATCACCGCAGAGCTCATTCTCCCTATTCCTCATACCTCGTCACCGTCTCATGGAGAATCCAATCGCCCTTTTGTTGAGCGCCCTGGGAACCGCTATGCCGGCAGACTCCATCTGAGCGAACGGTTCATCTGTTTCTCGACCCAGCCGACCAGCTTCGCGCCCTCTGCTAGTCTTGGGGCATCGACCCATTGGGCCGGTCAAACGAACGGCACAGGTCCCTCTGGAAATGGATTTACTATTCCGCTCTGCTGCATCCGGAGGGTGGAACGGCTCAACAGTCTGAGCCATGTCTTCTCCCTTGCGTTGACGACATGGAATGGTGCGCTCGGAAAGCAAAGCCCCGACTTTGTTCCGCAAAGGTTCACAATCCAGCTGGCTGGAAGCAGGCAGGCCTGCGAACGCTTTTGCGATGGTTTGAAGAAGGGACTGCGCGAGTGTATGAAGGAAATCGAGAACCTGCGCGTTGTCGTCAACGACTGTTACTCGGAATATCTACTGTCTGGTGCTAAGTCAAAAGCCCAAAATGGCGACACAACTGAACAGCGCCAGCCACCCGATGCTGGGCTGGGAATGATATTCCGTTATCCCGGTGACGCTCGCAAGCTTCGGGATCGAAGTAAGATGAGACTATGGGGAGAATATTTCAGAGGTATGCAGTCCAACCCGAGTGCTATATATTAGGACTTTTGTTAAGTAATATAATAGAGAATGGCCGCAATGCCACTATCATCCGTCAGCCGACCTTCCATAAATTGATCAGAGTCGGTCTGCCCAATCGTCTTCGCGGCGAGATCTGGGAGGTGACGTCGGGCTCGCTTTACCTTCGCCTGAGATCACCGAAGTTGTACGCCGAGACGCTCTCGAAGTTCTCTGGGCAGGAGTCTTTGGCGATTGACGAGATCGAGAAAGACTTAAACCGCAGCTTGCCTGAGTATGCTGGGTTCCAGAGCGAAGAAGGTATCGGTCGTCTTCGGAGGGTCCTCACTGCCTACAGTTGGACCAATGCGGAGATCGGATATTGCCAGGCCATGAATATCGTCGTTGCGGCTCTCTTGATGTTCGTTTCCCAATACCAACCTTGGAACTGAAGCTGACCCTTGCAGTTACATGTCCGAGGCACAGGCCTTCTTTCTGTTGTCTGTACTTTGCGATCGTCTTCTTCCCGGGTACTACTCCACGACAATGTATGGCACATTGCTCGATCAGAAAGTGTTTGAATCTCTAGTCGAGAAAACTATGCCTGTGCTCTGGGACCACCTCACGAAGTCTGATGTGCAGCTATCCGTTGTTTCTCTCCCATGGTTCCTTTCCCTCTACATCAACTCCATGCCGCTAGTCTTCGCCTTCCGTGTGCTGGATGTATTTTTCCTCGAAGGGCCTAAGGTTCTCTTCCAGGTTGGCTTGGCCATCCTTCGGATCAATGGCGAGGAGCTTTTGGATATCCAGGATGATGGTTCATTTATCTCAGTCCTCAAGGCATACTTCTCGCGCCTCGATGAATCGGCCCATCCGAGGTCTGAGAACCCGAAGCTGAGGGCCATCACCCGGTTCCAGGAGCTTATGGTTGTCGCCTTCAAAGAATTTTCCCAGATCACTCACCAGACGATTACGGAACAACGTGAAAAGCACAAGGATGCCGTTCTAGAGAACATTGAAAGTTTCGCCAAACGGACATCCATTCGCAATCTTGGACCGGATAGTAAGAAGCTGAGCATGGATGATCTGGGCGTCATCTATGACCGTTATTACGAGGTTCTCTATGACCATCAGCAGAGGCAGAAACTCTTGGACGAGGAAAAGAGGCGCCAGGAAAAGAAACGGGTTGAGAGAACATCGATCCTTGGGCCTCCTGTGGATAGAGAGGTCGGTCGTGTTGGTCTTGGTCCCAGTCCCACCCACATGGATTATGACGCTTTCCGGGAATTCCTCGCAGCCACAGCAAAATGGGCAGTGGCGGACTCGCCTCCTTCACGAAAGGAGTCAGCTGAGCAGGGCTTCAACAGTCTGAAGGGCTGGGGCAAACCCGCTTCGTTGTGGAATAATAAGCCTGAAGCAGCAGATCATGAGTTCACACGACGACTTTTCCGGAAATGGGCAACGGACCCCGACGAAGGTCTGAGTTTGCAAAACGTAGTCAACGGCCTTGCAAGACTCAAAGGGCCTCGCGACATCATGAACAACATCCAATACTTTTTTGATCTCTACGACGACGAAGGCACTGGACGGGTGGATAGAGAAGGCATTCTTCGCATGTCAGAGGCGCTTCTGTTCCTTTCTCGGCGAGGCTTTGACGGAGCTATT